CCCCCCCCCCCCAAACCCACCTCTCTCCGTTCCTATCTGCAAGGGATTTAACTGCATACTCTCAGAACTACCTGAGGGCCTGGCTCCTAATCAGCCTGTATGTGGAAGCTGATGGATTATAATCTAACCTATACATACAGCCCAGCAGGTAGCCTAGTATAGATTAACTTTTATTTAGAATTCATAATTTTGCTTAATCTGTAAATCCACTTATATCACTCTGGACTTTATAAGGTATAATAACCATATCCTATAATTTGTTAAGGCTGAGATTTAAACTTCCTTCCATACCTATGCCTTGACATTCATGATTGCCAGAGCTGTTTTTCAGGAACGAACTCAATATTTTGCAGGACCAGGGGGTTGATCTGGCTGAATCCCTCTGAGGCTGGCCAAAGCTGCTTGGAGGACCCTCTAATGACCTACTCATGAACTTTTCTCATAATACATCTCCTGCCAGCAGTAGAGATTTTCCACCATTTCTGAACATGTGATGTATGTATAGCCATGTTTTCTAACTGCACATGTGCAGCAATGTCCCTACCTATGCATGCCATAACAAAATTCACCTTGATGTTTATGCATGATATCCCTGAATAAAGACGAATCCAACCCTTGGTTCAGGACAAATTCCTTTGGAACTGATTCCTGGTGTGTCCTTGCTTGCTGGCTTGCAATAAAGTTTCTTCTCATAAAATCATCTTTTGGTTGACAGCTATTGAGTAATTGGACCTGGTTCCATCTGGTAACAGGATCCTCTCCTATGGGACACATGGATCTTAGTACGCAACTACTGGGAGCCTCTAAGAACAAAGATGGTGGCTTGGACAATCGTAAAGGTTTGAGAGGCAACCAGCTGTTTGGGCTGAGCTGATTGACAAGGTTCATCTCCTACATAAGACCAGTCTCTCAAGACTGGGAGAGATGGCTGTTTTATCTAAAGCACAGAAACCAACACAAAGAGTCAAGGAAAATAAAGAAATAAGGGAATATTTAAAAAACAAACACAAGATAAATTTCCAGAAACAGATTTAATAGAGGAAAATCTTTTTTTTTAATGTTTTTATTGATTTCAGAGAGGAAGGGAGAGAGAGAGATAGAAACATCAATGAGGAGAGTCATTGATCGGCTCCCTCCTGCATGCCCCCACTGGGGATGGAGCCCGCAACCCGGGCATGTGCCCTGACCGGGAATCTAACTACAATCTCCTGGTTCATGTGTCAAAGCTCAACCACTGAGCCACACTGGCCAGGCTAGAAACAGATCTAAATGAATTGGAGATAAGTGATTTACCCAATAGCTCAAAAGAACTGACATAAAGATGGTCACTGAAGTCAGGAGAGCAATGCATGGACCAAGAATTTCAAAAAAGAGACTGAAAATATTAAAAAGTACCAAACAGAAAAAGAGATAAACAATACAATAACTAAACTGAAAAATTCAACAGATGGGGGCAATAGCAGACTACATTAAGTGGAAGGATGGATCAGCAAACTTGAGGACAGGGAAGTAGAATTCATCCAATCAGAGGAGCTATAAGGAAAAAGAATGAAAAAAGAGTGAAGATAGCTTAAGGGACTTAGAGAACAGGATAAATTGGACCAAAATATGCACTATGGTGGGTGGTGGCAGGGTCCCAGAAGGAAAAGAGAGAGGGAAAGGGGCATAATTTCAATTTGAAATAATGGCAGGGGGTGTTATTTATTGATAGAGAAAACAAAAAACTGTGTACCACATCACAATCTAGATTTTGGCTTCCAAGACTTGTCCTATGGCAGATGTTTGTTGAAAGTTCAGTTGTGATAATCAACTCATTCTAACACTGAAGGAACAAACAAAGTAAAAGCAGCCTTACAAATGATGGCTTGCAGCCCCCACGAACCTTGTTTCTAAAAGTGGATCTCACAACAGAAGGTAAAAAGGCTCCAAAGAAGCTCCTTACAGAAAGAAACCTAGAACTCCAGTGCTCCAGAAGCTGGGCCCACACTCCACAACCACTTTTATACCCAAGGGATTCCCTTTTGCGGATAAGAAAGCACAAAACACTAAAGGAACAAGTACACATCTGCAAATTGATATTTCATTGACAAATCACCCAAGGACAGCTCATCTTCACCAACTGCAGAAATAATAAACTGATATATTGCTACGAGTCTCTGGGCTCTAATCAGTTCTTTCATTGGAAATTGTGTGATATGAAGGACAAATTAAACTACCTTCCAGGAGGTGGCTTTAGTACTAACAAGTACATAATAATAAAGGGTTGCAAGTTATTTTGGTAATGCTGGTATAGTAGCAACATTTCCAATAAAATTACAAGACTTTTACAGTACAGTCTTAAGAACAGCACCTCTATACATGCCCATACCGATTTTACAACATAACTTATTAAAGGTAACAATCACAAAGTTAATATGTAGACCTTGATGTTCAGAAAAAAGATTCTCTAATTTCTGCAGTTAAAATTTACAGCATAAAAAGTGCCTTTATTTGCATTTTATTATTAAGGCTGAAGATTATTTTCACTGTTTATTGGACATTTGTCTCCTTTTGTAAATAAGCTGGGTCTTTTGCCTGTATTTCTAGCGGGGTGTTCAACTTTTCTTTTTTGTGTGTGTGAATCCTCACCTGAGGATTTTCCCCCATTATTTTTTTAGAGTGGAAGGGAGGGAGGGAGACAGAAACATTGATGTGAGAGAGACACATGGATTGGTTGCCTCCCGCAGGAGCCCAGATCCAACCTGCAACCCAGGTATGTGCCTTTGACCAGAAATTGAACCCACAACCCTTCAGTGCGTGATCTGACGCTCTAACCACTGAGCCACACCAGCCAGGCCTCAACTTTCCTGTTTTATAAAGAACTTTTTGATGTTTTAAGAGATGAGTTCATTTCAAAGTTGGGCCTTGAAGGACGGAAAGGGTAACTGAATGATGTTCAATTATTTGTGGTCGATTTTGCTCCCTCCCAGCAGTGATTAAATCTGATCAAAATGAATGGATCACTTTGCTACAAAGTACACCGAAAATCTGAAAATTTCCTAAAATCCACCCCAGTTTCTATATAAACATAAGTCAGAATATGTCCTGAAATTAAAGAACGCAGGGTCTTAAATTCCGCGTGAAAGGGAGCCTAGAGCCAAGAACAGAACAGACTGGAGAGGCCAGGAACTGAGTTCGAGGGGATGCCGGGCTGCTCACAGGCGACGCTGGCGGCGATGCCGTTTGCTCCTGCAGGTGCGCCAGGAGGCAATACCGTTTGCTCACGCAGGGGAACCTGCTCTCACCCGCGGGGCGGGAATGCTGAGTAAAGGTCGGCTTATTTTACCCCAACGGGGTAAAAACTGGCCAGCGAAAGTGAAACGCTAGGCCTCTTCTCTGCGCAGTACCTTCTCGGTTGGGCGCCCCCAGGCCAGGGCTTGACGCCTCCACCTGGCAGGAGACAGCGCACCGCGAACTCCGGCTCAGCCCCCGTGGGCAAGGATGGCGAGGACCCTCCCCCAGCCCCGGCGGACCAGCAGGAACTTCCAGGAGCTGCGCAGGAGCCACGCCACTTCCGGGCGCCGGGCGGGCCGCTCTAC